TTTAACCTTTCCATCATGTTAGTAACCTTTATCTTGGTCTCATCTCTCTTTAAAACGTTGCTAGAAAACATTGCTGGCTCGTCTTTGTACTTCTGAGCAAATTCTAATGTGGTTTATCAGCTCCTGATGCTGATAAGAGGTTTACACCTTGCAGTGCAGCAAATGTTGTGGTGGAGCTCTCGGTCGCTCAGCTCCTTGTCACCCTGGAAGGAATTGTGAGACACTGGGAGATAATTGTAGAAAACATAAGATCTTTTGTTGGTCCTGAGCTGGTTTGGCAGAAATGGGAATTGCCCTGGGAATTTTCATCTGGGATGAGGTGGTTTCTGGGGGGAAAACAGGAGACAAATGTTTTTCCTGGATGGGGCAGGATGGTAGGATCAAGGGCTGATTAGGGAAGAGGGAAAAGGGTTTTCTTCCCAAGGGGGGGAGGGTGTTATTTTTGTATGTTTGTTTTTTTTATCGTACTGACTGCAAACAAAAAATAACACAAAATATATCATGACATATAACTAATCTTTACCTCAAACTGTTATTTTTGCATTTCATTGTAATACAAAATTAACAGTTTTGACTTCACTGCCTCAACATTTTTGGATTGCACTGTATGCTATATCTTTGTGGATTTCCAAAAGTTAGCAGGCTATTCACTCCTGTGAATCCAGAGTGAATGTGATACTACAAAATGTGGTACTACAGTATACATGTAGCTTTAAAAAATAACATTTTTAGCTTTTTATGAAAAATCAAATGCAATTGGGAAAACAAATGACCTTCCAGGTTAATTCCTTGAGGAAGCAAAAAAGTAAGAACTCAAATATATATAATGAATATGGACCCCCTGGGTTCATATCGCAATATACAGTACATAAAAAGTCAAAACAGCAGTACAAGTGTGCCATTTGTTTCAACTTAATGGGATTGTGTGACTGCTGAGGGAAAGGAGAGGCAGGCATAATGCTTAAATTATACTTATAAATATGCCATGTGGCGATATTATTAATTAAAAAATTACTTTATTGTTTTTACACAACAGTGCCAATGTTTTTGAATATATTATAATTTCTTGCTGCAAAAAGAATAAGTTCTTTTATGTTCTTGCTAATTTGATACATTGGTTTGGACACAGAACATGAATATTAAAAAAACTGACATTTACTTATTTAGTGAACAAGTAAGGTAATTTGTTTGTCGGATGTGCTTGGGGATAATGTCTTGGCATGCATGTGTTATTATTAAATTTATCTGTTCTCATTTAGAACCATTTCCAAATAGCTTACTTTAAATACATGCATGTATTGCCTCGATGTGAGACATTCATGGTGACGTCTTTTATATAATATTTTGCACTATAAACCTCATGATGTGACAGCAATAGCCAGATAAGAGAAGATAAAACACCTGAGTGTACTGAAATATAATAGGAGCATATAAAAGTTTATGTTGCAGTGGAAGACATTCACATACTGAACCACTTAATAGGAAATAATTTTGCACGTACCAAACTATAGTAAATATTTAACCCAAAGCATTTCATAGAGTTGGTAGGATTGGAAATTAACTTTGTTTAAATGACATCTACAAGTATATGTTCAAAGAACTTTCAAAGCTCTTTCTAACTGCAGGTTTTTCATTTTCATCTCTCGCACCAAAAACAAAACAAATAAAGGTTTCTTATTCACTTCTTCTATACTGCAGCTTACTGCATCCAGAGAAACATTGAAAGTCCTAAAAACACACTAACTGCTCATACAACAAACAAGAGCTGTATTACTCCAGTCCATAAGAGGTCATCCGTATAAGACAATACAGAGAGAGGAAAATGGAGTTGATCTCTACAGTATTGACACTACATGTACCAGAGTTCTGCTTCACACACCTGCATTATTAAATAAATACACAAGAACTGTCTTTACAATTTAGAAAGTTTGAACAATAGAACATTTGACGTTAAGTACGGTCTGTAAAATCTTTCTTAACACTTTAGTGGCAAGACTTTGTCCTGCATACACGTAAGTGTTCAGAAAGTTTTTTTTCTGAAGTCTTGCTTTGAATTGTAAATGATCCTGGTGTGGCTTGGCTCCCATGAGTGATTTTCTTAGGAATTCTGATAAATGCATCCGCCGATAGGCAGGAAGCTGTGAAATTTGAACATAAACCAGCCAGTCATGAATAAAGTTTGACATCCCTGGTGATAAACTGTCCCTGCCGTTGTCTACGATTCCAGGATTCCATTCTCCCAAGAGGGATGAATTTTCCTTGAATTTTCACTCATCGTCAAAATGTTTGACCGGTACCACACCCCCTTTTCTAGAACCATTCTCCTCGGTAATGTCCAACCCCCCCCTCCTCCGCCTGCGCATGTGATGCTGAAGTATGAAGGGCGTCAGGATGGAAGATGTGCCCAGATACATGGGCAAGTGAGTCAATGCAGGTCTTTTATAAAGTGTACAAAGTGTACAAAGCAGCTTGGGGAAACCGGACCTGGCCTCAAAATGTTTAAATCTAATCTGTAGCATCTCAGGCACCAGAGAGGAGTTACAAACAGCGATAAAAAATGTATGAAGTACTTTGCACTCTAAAACCAGGCTTAGTGTGTGCGTGTGTGTGTGGGGGGGGGGATTGGGGAAACCACTCATGCATACACTCAAGGACAAACTCTGGGAGCAGAGTTCATTACACACTCTCAGGCCAACAGAAATAAAATTGGTCCTTTTTTTCCTTAACATTTCAGAAAAGCGTAGTTACACCAGCACAACATTAATACATTAAAATACCTTTTATAAAGTGATTGGAAACACAGCAAAAAAAAAGAAGCTCTCCTTCTGTATCACAGAGCGAGGTAGTGCGAGTCAGTGTTGGCACATCATTTTCCAAACATTGGACAGGAGAAAAGACATCAGGGACAAGTGTGATATTCAATTTCCATGTTAAGCACTAGGCCAAGAAATTTATTCAAAACACAGTTACTCACCTCAAGGCCTGTGGCTGGTGAAGGTATGCTTTCCATTTTTTGTTATGCGACTGGTTCTTCACAAAGTGACTCAGGACGCAGACATGATTCACTCACAGAGGCTGCATGTTAAATGCAGGGCCTTGATACAGGCGGTAGTATTTATCCATACTTTCACTCCCCTCATGCATGCCCTGCTCTTGTGGCTGTTAAACTGGGAAAAACTAAGGTTGCTGCTGGAAGAGGTGTTAGTGGGGCCAGCAGGGGGCGCTCACCCTGCGGTCTATGTGGGTCCTAATGCCCCAGTATAGCAACGGGGACACTATACTATAAACAGGCGCTGCCCTTCGGATGAGACGTAAAACCGAGGTCCTGACTCTCTGTGGTCATT